CCCCGCCCCCTTCCCCGGGGCTCTTCCCTTCGTTCTGGACGCGAAGTGGGAAAAGCCGGGGTTCCGCGGCGCTGACCGGAGGTGAGGACCCCCCTCCCACGGAGCTCGTCACGTGGCGGAGGGATGGCTTGACTTTTGCGAGTGGTTTCGGTAACGCAGCCCTTACCAACATCAGCACCCTCTCGCGTGTTGACGTTTGCAATCGCCAAGTTTCTTTGGGGTTACTTTTTGCTGCTGGGTTTTTGTTCGATAACTTCGGGAAGTGGCGAGGAATTTGAAGTCCCTCCGAAAGACCAGGTTGTCCGATGCCATGCAAGTGTGTGCTCAGAATTGATCTAGGCGCAGAGTTTATGTTTTAATGGAGAATCTTCTCCAAGGAACCTGTTTGCCTGCCGTCGCTGAAACGCCTTTTTTTGTTAAAATGTCGGTGTCTGTGCTCTTGCTTGGTTTTATCGGATGGGACAGAACTTGCTACCTTCTAACACAGGTGTAATTTGTGTTGGTCTTTTAAAAACAAAACCGAACCCAAGCCAAGGATTTCTAAGGAAATTTGATTTTGAGGTTTGTTGCCACACCTCTCGGAAACGGCCAGTTACACGGTCTTGCTTGACCCCCACCTTGCAACCTGCAGAGCTGAGTGTGGCTATCGCTCCGCGGCGGTCAGCGCCGTGGCATTTCTTGCTCTGACCTGCTCATCGTGCCAGCAGTTCTGCCCTCTAGTGGGACCCAGCTTAGCACCTGGCTCAGGTACACACAGTGGGAATGTTATTGATGGGTACACCTGACCTTAGTTTTCCCATAAAGCAGACAAAGATGGTGGTTCTGGTGTTAAACTTGCGTGGGACGTGCTCTCATTAAAGTCAAGCCTTAGCGTGCGTCAGCACTTGGCCCTCATTATCTCTCCTCTCCCGGGAAGGCGCGTTCCCGGCCTTTCTAATCACTACTGCACATGGGACGCATTTCCATGTGTGCAGTGGTGACAAACCACTCCGTTTAAAAAAAAAAAAAAAGGAGAGAAAAGAAGCGCGTAATAAAAGAGGGCCCTGCCTCAGTTTTCTGGTTTTCCTACTTCCTGGTGATTCTTGTATCAAACCACACGAATTTTTTCATTGTTCCCGGAGAGTGAAGTTGTTCTTGTTGCTTCCCTCCACGGACTGCCCACACCGCTGCCCTTACCAGCATCTGATGGTTTGGGCTCCTCCCTTCCCTTTCTTTAATTGGGACGGGGGGAGACATACTTTCAGCAACCAGTAACAGCTAATGTTTATAAAATGTAAGACTCACCTAGCACTCGGGCTCTTGCTTTAAGTGATGACAAATCAATATCTGGCTATGTTAGGTAGTACTGGGTGGGTTTCCCTTTGAATTTACCGGAGAATGGCTTTGGTTCTCTTAGATACGATTTTCTTGTGTATTATGCTTACATGTTTTCTTGAAGATGCATTTACCTTCAAACATTCATGATTTTTTAAAAACTTTTCTGGTATGCTCAGAATAGAAAGGAGTTATCTTTGAGGAGAACAACTTGAATCGGTCAATTCTTCACTGCCCAAGAAAGTTAATTAGTATCTGCATATTTTAAAAGGATTATCTGTTCTTTGAATCTACTCTTGCCCTAGTATGCTGTTGTGTCACTCCGAGACCAGTCCAGTCTTATCTAACAAATACAGGGGAAGGCTAATACAAGTGTGTAAAGTCTTGACTTCTGTTAGAAGCTTCAGAAGGCTATATTTTGACAGTCATATGGAGTAAACTTAGGAGTAAATTAAGTTTTATGTATTAAATCTTGGAAAATAAATTATTTTTTTACCCATATTTATTAAAAGGGACACAAAATAGTTAATGAAAGTTAATCCATAGCTGTATAGCTTAGTTGTAATTTCCATTTCAAAGTTAACCTTTCGTAACTAATTTGGATCCTTGTGTGCTTACATAGTCACTTTTAGGATTAATCATTATAACAAGATTCTAGGAGTCCCTGATGCTTTTTTAAAAAGAACTTTTCTGTCCAGCTCCAATGTCTAAAGTCACACATCTGTGTTATACTGCTTGTCTGGTGGAATTAAGTGGGGGTGGAATGTTGAAATACTGCTAGGAAAGGAGTGAATTGCTCAGGACTGTTCCATAATAAACAATAGAGAGAACAGTTTAGAAAGCATACTTTGTGGTCTCTTCTGAGCAAAAACCTCTTTATCTGGGGGGAAAAAAGAATAGAAATACCTTCCTAAAGAGTCTTCAGGGTTAAAGTTGGTTTTGATAGTAAAAAAAAGTATGGGAAATGCTAACCATTCAATTTTGTATAACAGTAATATTTTAAAAAGTGTCTTAGTAAATATATCTGGACAGTTTTTGTATAGTCAGAAAAAAATTGATGACAGTAGAAAGGTAAACCAATTTCTTATTAAAGGAGTAGATTAGAAAGCGTAAATATTTGCCATTTTCTACTCCCTGGTTTTATATTGGCCATCTGAAATTTAAATTAGAGTTTTACTTTAATGCCCACCTAACACTATAACTTTGCAGATGCTGTTCTTTCTTTTCTGGAATGCTGTTCTCTGGCTCTTTCCCCAGGTACCTTCTTTTTATACATACGTCTCAGCTCAAAGCATTACTTCCTCTGGAAATCATTCCTGATCTGCCCAACTCTTGAGGGTCACATATGTCCCTACTGCCATTTAAGGTATGTTTCTATGACAAGTGGCTGTCTCCTTTAAGATACTGTCAGCAGGCATGTGCCCTGACTGGGAACCGACCGGTGACCTCTTGGTTCATGGGTCGATGCTCAACTACTGAGCCACACTGGCTGGGCTTTGCTATTTTAATTGGGTGTTTTCTGCTACTTTATCTTCCAGATATTGATTTGACCAAGCACTTTACCTAATCTACTTTATTTTTATTTCAGTTATTGTAGTCTTCATTTCTGACTGGTTCTCTTTAATGTTTTCCATCTCCATTTTTGTGTTTCCTGTCTCTGTGAAGTTTTCACTGAGATCACTGACCATCTTTATGACCAGGGTTTTGAACCCTATATCTGGTAGATTGCTCATCTCCATTTTGTTAGCTTTTTTTTTTTTTCCTGGAGTTTTGTTCTGTTCTTTCGGTTGGGACATGTTTCTTCGTCTCCTCATTTTGTTCGCCTCCCTGCCTTTGTTTCTATGTATTAGGTAGAGTGTTATATCTCCCAGTCCTGGTAGAGTGGCCTGTGTAGTAGGTGTCCTATGGGGCACAGGGGCGCAGTCTCCCTGGTCTGTTGCATGAGCCCTCCCGTTGTAGTTGAGCCTTAATTACTTCTGGTATGTCAGGAGAGGGGTTGACCCTCAGGCTATTTGGTTGTGAGGCCTGGTTGTGACTACAGCAGAGGAACTGTTGATAGGGGGGTTGGGGGCTGACCCTATGGCGCAGGATTCGTTTTAGTGTTCCTTTGTTGCCTGTTGAGTCTACCCTTTGGGTGTGTCATTTGTGGAGAAGGTTGGGTGATGTTCGGATGGGTCTGATGCGGGCCATTGGGTGTGTTTGTTCTGGAGCCTCTTGGGAGGAGCTTTGGTGGCGTCAAGGTCAGCTGCTGCCTGTGCCTGCCCAGGTCACTTGGTATGAGCTACCAAGTGATCTGCAGATGGTTGCCACTTGTGCTGGGCCTGGCTGAGCTGCAAATTGAGGCCAGCTGCCACTAGTGTTGGCCTTGTGCTTGCTTAGTGGGAGATGAGGGGCACCTGGAGACTAGATGCCGCTTGTTTGGGGTTTGTGAACCTTTGAGAGATTTTAGGAAAGTTCTCACCATGAGCCAAGACAGGCTATTTGCATGGAAAAGCCTCTGGAAGCGGCTTGGGTGTGTCCGAGAGTTGGGTGGGGTGGGGTGTGGTCTCGGAATGACCAGGGCAGGGCAAGCAGTGTCATGAGGTTGATGGAGACTCAGATATGGCCGTATGTAGGCTGGGTTTGGGGAGGGCTCCGAAAGGGAACAGTGGCCTCTGCCAGCACTTCTGACTTGGAGAAAGGGCCCCTCCAGCCCTTGCCTAAAGCCAGACAATTCACTTCCTCCCTACATGTCCCTGGTACCTTTCAAGCTGCTACCCCTGTGCTGGAGCTCAGAGGGAATTAGTCCGAGGAAAGTCAGAGCAGTCCCTTTAAGAGGAATGCCTGAGACTCCAGCAGCCCTCCGTCTCAGCTACAATCGCCACTGGGTTTTTGTTTGGTTTGGTTTTTTAACATACTTTTATTGATTTCAGAGAGGAATGAAGAGGGAGAGGGAGAGGAAGCTAGAAACATCAGTGATGAGAGAGAATCATTGATTGGCTGCCTCCGGCATCCCCAGGCATGTGCCCACAACCCAGACATGAGCCCACAACCCAGGCATGTGCTCTTACTGGGAATTGAACTGTGACCCCCTGATGCTCAACCACTGAGCCATACCGGCAGGGCAGTCCTCACTGGTTTTTACCAGCCAGAAGTTATGGGGACTCTCTTCCTGGCACTGGGACCCTGGGCTGGGACCCTCACTCCTCAGGGGTGACTTCCACAGCGGAGATATTCCTCCTGATTTTCAACTACCATATTTGAGTGGGTGACCAGCCCATTTTGTGTCTCCAGTCTCACAGGGCTTCCTCTGATATCCTTAGTTATAAGACTCCTGTTCAGCTAGGCTTCGGGTGGTTCTCAGTGATGGTTCTGTATCTTAGCTGTAATTTTGATGTGGTTGTGGGAGGAGGTAAGCACAGCATTTGCCTACTCCACCTTCTTGACTGGAAGCCCAAAAGTATGTTTAAGTTTTAGAAGTATAGGATTGCTCTTAGTCTTTTTGTTAATAATTTCTAAATTGCATTGTGATCAGATAATCTGATTGATACTAATACTATATCTGAAAGTTTGTTGAGGCTAACTTTGTACCTCGCATATAAGCAGAAATATTCCACTTGTACACTATATATATACAGTATATATACCCTAATTGATACACGTGTGTGTATTCTGTGTGTGTCCATTAAATTGAAGTTATATTAGTCATGCCTTTCACATCTGTGTTCTTACTAACTCTTCTTGGTCTGGGGTATCTAAGTGACCTTTTGTGTACTTGATGGACATGTTAAAATGGTGGATTTTTAAAAATCTCTTGAGTTTAGAATTAGTATTCTTTTTCACAAGTATTAGTATTAGTATTAGTATTAAGTATTAATACTAATAAATCACAAGTATTAAGTATTAGTATTCTTTTTCACACTTCCAGGTGACTTGAACTTTTTAATTTTATCATTATGAAGTAATGCTTGTTATAATACTTTTTTTTTCTCTTAAAGACCATTTTGTCTAAAGTTAACGTGGTTTCATTGGTTTTCTTTTGGTAAATATTTGCCTGCTATAAAAACCTGTAGCATAATTTTCCCCTTTTATCTAGTCTGGCAGTCTTTGTCGCTAGAAAGTTTTCTCTGCTTTTATTTGTGTTTACTGATGTGTTTGGATTTCTGGCTACCATCTTATAGATTGATTCAACACCCCCCCCACCCCCACCC